CTGCAATTAAAAACATGTGATTATTTAGAAAAAATTGCAAAAAAAAACAAAAACTAAACCTTTATTTAGTTTTTTATCTATATTATTTGTGTAGCATATAAATATAAAGATATATATCAATCAATTAATTTTTATTTCACCCCCCTTCCGGGGTTGAAAAGGCGTTTCTTTCAGTAAAAACGTTCCCAAAAACCTTTACAAATTCTGCTATACAAATAAAATCATATACATTATACATTCAATCATTAATCGTATACATTTTATATCTATAATATAATTTTTCTTATTTCTTTTTTCCCCGACCTGGTCATTGAGCGACCTCACATCTCATTTCCCTTCCCTTCGTCTTCCATCCGGCACCCTTCTGGTCATCTCTTTCAGTTTCCTTTAATTCCGCACCCCTCTGACTTTCTCCTTTCTGTCGTTGCTCTTCCCTTTTCTTTCCGGCTCTCTCCCTCCTCTTGTTTGATGCCTTCCTTCTTTCTTATTCTACGTTCACTCTGCAAATAACTGCATTAAAGATTATTCTTACATTCTTACAATCTTACTTCCTTCTCCCCTTTCTCTCTCTTAATGCTTCTCTCTTTATCTCCTTTTATCTCTCTTTTCCATCCTAAATTTCTCCTATTGTTTTTTCTTCCTATCTGCTTCGTCCTCGTCCGTATCCATAAGGAGATTCTCCTCCATCCTTTTTGCTCTTTCTTCCTCCATGATCCTCTTTGGCCTCCCGCTTTCCTCTTCTCTCCTCTCTTTTCTCCTTTCTTTCTCCTCTCTTTCTCTTACCCTCGTTTCCACCGACTTGTCCTCGTCCATTTTCACCCTCAATCCGCTCTCTTCCTTTCTCTTTGAATCCAATACCTTCCGCTTATCCTCCTCAACAAAAATCATCTGTATTATTCTCTAATCTTTCTGACTAACTTGCCGCTGTATTAGCCTGCCTTCTTCTTCTCTCCAGCTCTGCCATCCATTTATCTCTCTCTCCTTTACTATTCAGTATCCTTATGATCTTCTCGCCAATTCCTTCTGGCTTCTCCTCCTCCTTTCCTCTTGTGCACCGCTCTAACACACGCTCCCATGTCTCTGGTGCTGCACCACATATTCTACAGCTTCTTTTCTCTATTGGTTCCCAATATCTTCCACCTCTCATCTCATTACCTAGCCTAAATCTCGCTATCCTGATCATGGACTTCTCTTTCTCTTTTTTCTCTAGGTATTCTGGCCTTCTGATTTCTGCTATCTCCCTGTACCACCTGTTATATCTAGACTCTCTTACTCTTTCATCTCTCTCTTGACTCTGAATGTCTTTGTCTCTTCTTGTTATCTCCTCTATACTGCCTCAGCCATTTCCTCTTTTCCTTTTTATCTCCTCAGTTGCGTATCCTCTTTTTTCATAAAAGCTCCTTCTCTCTTCTTCCCAATTTGCCTTTTCCTTCCTGACATTCCCTTTTATTTCTTTCCAGCATTGTCTTGCAATCTCATTTCCCTCTCCCCTTTCCAGTTTTTCCTCGTATTTCATCGCCCTTTTACCAGCACTTACTCTCATTCTGTCCCTCTTGGTTTCCTCCCTTATCATGTATCCGGGTGTGCTCCAGTCTAGGCCCAATGTCCACTTTATATACCTTTCGTGCATTCTTTCTATTTTCTCTCTCTCTTTCCATCCTCACATTTCTGCTCCATATAAAGCTATGCTTGCTACCAGTGAATCGTATAACTTAATTCTTCTTATCCAGTCTCCTCCAAATAACTTTTTTCCTATTCCCCAAACCTGTTTCATTGCTATGGTAGCTTTCCTTACTCTTTTATATGCGCCTCCTGTCCTCCGTTCTTTTGGAATGTGTAGCCTAGATATCAGAATTCCTTTACCTCCTCTATTTCTTCTCCCATCCATTTCCATTCCATTTTCTTCATTTTACCTACTTCCTTCCTAAATCTCATTACCTTTGTTTTCCCTACATTCACTCTCAGCTTTTTTCTGTCGAAATATTTCTCCAGTCTTTTCATCGTCCTCTTCATCTCCTCTTCGTCCTCTGCTATAGCTACTATATCGTTTGCGTATGCTAACGTCCAAAATTTTATTCTCCCTACTACCACGCCTCCATCTTGCCCCCTCCTCATTGTTTCCTTTAAATCTGCCAGCAGTAGTATGAAGAGCATAGCGCTCAGCGGGCATCCCTGTCTGACTCCTTTGACCATGCAAAAGCATGATCCCTTTTCTCCTTTCACTCTTACCACGCTTCTTGTCTCTTCGTACAGATCTTCTATCCTAATTCTCAGCTGTTCACTAATTCCTTCTCTTTTCAGTGCCTCCCAAATTTTTTCTCTGTTCACGGAGTCGAATGCTGCTTTCAGATCAATAAATATTTTGTAGCTTGTGTTCATTAATGTCACCCCTCTGTAATCTTGTGCTTCTTTTTCTTCTCCTTTCTTTACTATTGGTACTATTATACCTTCTTTCCAGTCTTCTGCTATTTCTCCTGTCCTCCACGCTGTATCACATATCTCCCATATTTTTTCCTTCAATCTCTCTCCTCCCATATATCCATACCTCATTTAGCAATCCATCCGTACCTGCTGCTTTTTTCCTTTCATTTCTTTAATTACTTCTTCCACTTCCTCTCTTCTTATTCCTTCCTGCTCCTCTTTGCTACCCATTCTTTCCTCTCCCTTCCTGTCTTTTTCACGCGGTTTTACAGTTACTCCTTCCAATAGCTCCATGAAGTGTTTATTCCATTGCTCCTCCGTTATTTCTTCGCAAACCACTTTTCTACCCTTCCTTTCTCTGTTTATAAATCTCCATACTTTCTTCTCGCTAGTTGCTTCTCTCCTCGCTTCTTTTATAACTCTCTCCCTTTCTATCCTTTTCTTCTCTTTTATTTTCTCCTCATATTCTTTTTTCTTTAGAATGTACCTCTTTTTATCTACTTCTCCCTTTCTCCATTTAACTAGTTTCTCTCGTGCTTCTCTCCTTAGTCTTACACATTCACTATCCCACCATCTGCTGTTTTTCTTCGATCTCTGGTCTTCTCTTATTTCTTTCCAAACAGCAGCCTGTTTTACTGCGTTTTTTATTCCCTCCAATATTTCTTCTATGTTAATGTGCACTGAGTGCGCATACTAGTTCTGCCAATAAAAAACACTACTTATGGATGCTCCGTACATATTTTATTTTAAATCTTCTTGCATAGATCAAAGCTATCGTGTTTTTTTTGCTTGTTTAAAACATGTTTTTTTTATACCTTAGTTTAAAACACAAATAAAACATAAAACATTGTTTTAAACAAAAAAAACAATGTTTTTTGTTTAAAATAAAAAAAACATGTTTTTTGCCAACCCTGATTAATCCAGTCGTTATCTGGATAATTCTGTTGGGGTTCCGAAAAAAATGAATATTTTTTGAATTCTTTCGAGAATCGTTTTTACACGTTTTTATTGAACACGTACTCATGATGATATGTCACAATATCACTTGGTACAACCTTAGTTTTGAAACTGACACTTAAAAATGGTTGCATCTGGCATCTGCGCAGAACCGTATGAAATTCGTCACGAGTATGAGCACACCTGTGTTCTTCCACCATGTATGTCAATAGTCGAACCCTGGAGTCGGAGAGGATCGGATCGACGGGATCGGGTCGATCGGGAGCGGCAGCCATATCAAATAAGAGAAAAATAAGAAGTTAGTGAGAGAGAGAGAGAGAGAGAGAGAGAGAGAGAGAAAACAAGTTAGAGAAAGAAAGAGGAAAGATGAAAAATACAAAGAATTGAACTGTGAGAGATGAAATCTTTGTGACTTTGTGTGAGAGATAGAAATAATCTTATATTTATATATTTAAAATGTGAAATTGCATTAAAATAATTTTATGTCGTAGCCTTTAGAGGAGCAAAATAATGGAACTTATATAAATGTCTTGCAATCATAGAAACTTTTATATACAGATCTTGTTTCTTGTAGTTGTGTTTTGTTACATTTTCTGACCTTTTTAGAAGAATGAGTTAAGTTAAGGTTAGGTGGTGCAACCGAGTCTAAAGCATTGAGAGGAAAAAAGAGACAGAGAGAGAGAGAGAGAGAGAGAGAGTACAAAGACAAGATTTTTAATTTTTTAAAAGACTATTTATTTTATAATTTTAGATCGTTACTTGGAAATTTGACTGCATGAAATATTGTACGTTTAGATGAAAAATGCTTGGCACGTGAATTTTATCTCCGAGGCAGTCCGAGGAAAATGTACCTACTGGATGCTCTGTGGTATGTAAAGCAAGGTTTTGAAAAGTTAAAATTGTTCAATCGCTATTTGTTGCGATTATAACTGGTCTTGTTGCAGGTAGATCACAAGATAATGAAAATATCGTACAGAAGAGAGTATTGACATGTAATCGAGGAATTTGACATGGAGATTCAAACATTTGTATTCTTTGATTTAGAAACAACTGGTCTAATTCAGGGGAAGGTAATGCCAAAAATTACAGAGATTGCTTTAGTTGCCGTCTCGAGAGAATCGATATGCAATGGTAACAAAAATTTTATGCCAAGAGTTTTGCATAAAATGGTGCTCCCAGTTAATCCACGAAAAGTCATACCGCCGAATGTAGAGCACCTGACAAGTGAGTTATCTCATCAGTATGAATTAATATATAAATAACTATATATAAATGGAGAGAAGAATCCAAATTATAAATAGCTTGGTTTACATTATTAGTATTTTTGCAATTCAGATACTCTATATTATAATAATCTTATGATTTTGTAGAACTGTACAATGAGGACATGCAACTACTGCAACCTTTCGAGAACAAACTTTACGAGTTAATAACGCACTTTTTGCAACGTCTCACACCGCCAATTTGTTTCGCAGCGCATAACGGCGACAAGTTTGATTATCCGATATTCTTAGGGGAACTCGAACGTATCAATAAGGTAATTAATTTACATAATAGCTCTTTCATATATAATCTTTTATTTTATTTAATAATTTGTCCCCATTAAAGATCTTTAACAATGAAATCCTCTGCATTGATACATGGAAGATGTTCCAAGATTTCTTCAAGAAAAGAGACTTGGAGCCAAAGGTGGTCCAAGATTTGTTGAACGATGAGTACAATGACTCGCTCTCCATGTTGGATATGGATGTGGTGATGGAGGAAGTACCCAAAGTTGTTGCGACAACGTCCACTGTGCAAACAATGCTTTTCTGTGGTGATAAATACACTAAAGTTATAAACAATAATGTAGAGAAGTATAGCAATGATACTAATATCCAATCGTCGAACAATCCTTTACAAGAAACGAATGAAAAAACGCCAAAGAATCAAATAATGAAGCTGGATAATGTCTTTGCACAGCGACCGTTCAAGAAAAACAACTCGAAAAAGAGATTGAATTTTGAATGTGAAAAGCCGATTAGCTTGAAACTTAATGACATTTATGAGTATATGTTCGGCTTGAACTTCTCGTATAATCATTCAGCCGAGGCAGATTGTCTTGCTATGATACGCTGCGTCATAAACATTGCTGATTTCTTCCTCGATTGGTCAGATAATCACGCAGTTCCATTGATTTGCTGCAAAAAAACGTAATGTGACGCTATTAGTTGATTGCAGACGATAAAAATAACATGAAAAATACACAAAATATAGAAAGAATACGTGTTATTGTCGTGAATTAAAGTGCAAAGCTAGTATGTACGAAATTTGTGAAGTAATATTAAGTGTACTCCTCTGCTCATATTGAATTGAAAGTGAGAAATTGTTATCATAATTTGACATGGTTCATAAGGGACGAAGAATCACTTGATTTTATGTAAACATAAATTATTTATTAAATTAAAGATCTTTTAAAAATTTTAAATTGCCTTAAATTAATATTTTTAGGATCTGTAGCTACAATTTTATAACGTATCACCATTTCCTAAAAATATAAATTTAAAAAAATTTGAAAAAATGTACTATTTAGCTGTGATTTACTTTAAGAATCACGAGTCTATGTGCACGAGTATTAAGATATGACTAATTGATGATTGAGGGAAGAAAGTATTATTTATTCATGTTTTTATAAGTTTAATATAAAGATGGCAAGATAAAGATATTTTCATACTATGCAACTGTGTAATAAATTAATTATTTTACCAATTTAAGATATGAAGCGTTTCTATGTGTGCATATATTTTTACTATATCATTCCTTGAAAATGCGAATAAAAACGAAACGATCAATTTTAAATAATCCTCATAATTGAGAAAAATTTTATTTTTGAACGTTACGTGTATAAGACTGTTTTTTATTGGCAATACAGACTTTAAATATAATTTTCTTATGAAAATGGAATTTTATCTAAAAGTTTATTGTACATTTTCAACTTTTTAATAAAATCATCTCAGTTGTCATAATCACTAATAACCGCTAAATAATAACATTTATTTTATATACTTAACGAAAGTCTTTACAAAAGAAAATATATATATACACTTATTGTTAGTACATAACAAACTAAATACATATGGATTTCGGAAAAAGTATATTTTATAAATTAAGGATGTTTTGCCTATATAGTTTCCTGCCAAAAGTTAGCTTTCAATAAAAAATTATTAAAAAAAAGACTTTGCATGCATGTCAAGCAACTCAACATTTTTTATATGTTAGAAAGGATTACCATTAACAGTTTGAGTCTGGTTTTTTGTCATTTAAATAGTATTGTTTAAGCAAAAAAAAAAAAAATTTTAGCAAAAAGTTTTGAAACTTAAAATACAATATCAATGATGTATGTTTTACATATAAAAAAAGTTTTAGAAATATCTTATTGTTTTTATTTATATTTACCGCGAAAAAATGTCGATTCTCCATAAGGAATAATGTTAATTTCATCAACTTTAAACTTAAATAACTCTTAAATTGTCTAGTAAATCACTTACAGAGTATTTTAAATTTAATTTAAAAGAAACATCTCAAAATTTCAGCCATTTCTGAATATATTTGAAATACCTGCAATAATCATTAAAATTGTTATAACTCACAAGTAACACTACCCAAGTGTAAATCGCCGATTTGGATAATTTTTTAATATGTTTTAGTAGACGTAAAAATAAGACATACGTATTTTTTTTTATCGGCGAAAAACCATATTTAGGGTGTGAAACACCCCTTTGAATTTATGGGTATCGATTTAATTGTTTTATATAAGGATTCAGTATTTTCGGCCCGAACCAAATAAAATAGTTGCATTATCAAGAGATATGAAAAATGAAAAATTTTCGACTCGGTTCGATCATTTTTAGGGGGTAAACCACCCCCTGTATTTGAAACAAAAATTTAAAAAATGCCCAGATAATTGCAAATTTCATTCAAAAATTTTGAAAAAAATATATGTTACACTCGCATCCAAAACAAAAGTGAAACTGTTTGAGGATTTAAGGGTGACCACTCTTTTATCGAATTTCTTACGTAACATTTAAAGCATCGGCAAAAATGTCCGTTTTCGGTACCTCGATTTTTGAAACTTTTTTTATGCCAAATGGTTACTTATGATGACCCAATAATTCCAGCAAAATTTCAAGAGGAGCATACGCCCCGTTTAAGAAATATAGGGGGTCAAAGAAGCTGCTATATTTTCTGATTGGATATGGTCAACTTTGACCCCCTATATTTCTTAAACGGGGCGTATGCTCCTCTTGAAATTTTGCAGGTATTATTGGGTCATCATAAGTAACCATTTGGCATAAAAAAAGTTTCAAAAATTGAGGTACCGAAAATGGACATTTTTTGCCGATGCTCTAAATGTTACGTAAGAAATTCGATAAAAGGGTGGTCACCCTTAAATCCTCAAATAGTCTCACTTTTGTTTTGGGTGCGAGTGTAACATATATTTTTTTCAAAATTTTTGAATAAAATTTGCAATTATCTGGGAATTTTTTAAATTTTTGTTTCAAATACAAGGGGTGGTTTACCCCCTAAAAATGATCGAACCGAGTCGAAAAGTTTTCATTTTTCGTATCTCTTGATAATGCAACTATTTTATTTGGTTCGGGCCGAAAATACTGAATCCTTATATACAAAACAATTAAATCGATACCCATAAATTCAAAGGGGTGTTTTACACCCTAAATATGGTTTTCCGCCGATAAAAAAAAATACGTATGTCTTATTTTTACGTCTACTAAAACATATTAAAAAATTATCCAAATCGGCGATTTACACTTGGGTAGTGTTACTTGTCAGCAACCCCGTTCAGTGGATTTTTTTCAACTTTTTTTGCAGCACATCAAGAAGACTAAAAAAACAATCTCACAAATTTTTATCGAGTTTTCACTGTTTTTAAGATTATAGGTAGAACATCCTTAACTTTGTTCAAAAATAAACATGAGATCAATGCAACCAAATACATATAATTTTATATGTATTTTTATCTAACCGGAAATAAGTTGGCGCTGCAAGTTCATATTTTTTAATGAACTATAGCTCAAACGATTGCTCTTTAATTGCTCCCTCAGAATCAACAATTGCTCCCCTTTTAAAATTATTATTTTTTGAGATATTTAATAAAAACAAAAAATTTCTAATTTTTATTGAAAAACATATTTATAATAATTCTATGCAACTAATTTTTCGTTTTTATTAAATATCTCAAAAAATAATAATTTTAAAAGGGGAGCAATTGTTGATTCTGCGGGAGCAATTTAAGCTATAGTTCATTTAAAAATATGAACTTGCAGCGCCAACTTAATTCCGGTTTTTATCTATACGTACCTTTATTGTAGATACACCTTTAATATGTTATTATAGTTATAATGTTATATGTTATGGTTATAGTATGTAATGTAATATGCAAATATAAATGTTAATTTATTTTAATTAATTAATTCTTATTTTATAAAAGTCTCTCAACAAGTTTTTTATTAAGGGGATGCTGGAGTGACGGCCGAATTTCCTCGATGTCGATAATATCAACATTTCTAATTTTGTTTTCCCTATATATATAGATACCTGTTTTTGTCTAACGAAATGACATCTGTCCTTGTTCGATTGCTGCGCCATCTCTCGCTATACGCAATACTAATACTCATCATATCAACCTGCATGTGCTTTTGCATATATAAAAGTTGGACACATATACAACTTTTTTTCTAGACTTTTATCTAGACTTTTTCTAGACTTAGTTCTAATTGCACGATATTGTTCTTAAATGTTTTCTCTAAGGGTGCTGTAATCTTATTTTGTATATATAAACTGCAGTATTTTTGTATTAAGCAAATATTGTCGTCAGTGACAGCTCTATATGTGCCGAGAATTTTAATTTTTTTCGTTTTTGATGTAAAATCGACTGCAGCACCCTCCATTTTTGTACATACGTACTTTAATTCTGTACAAAAATTTTTCCAATTCCGTAAAGCCAATTCAAAGTTTTGTGTGTTCAAAAAAATGTCGGTAATTACTACCACTACAGCATCCCCTTGCAGCCGTATGATTTACCGACATTATCGTTTTTCGATGGATCTTTTAATTGGCTTTATAGAATTGCAAAAATCTTTTACAGAATTAAAGTACGCACAAAAATCTAGGGTAACAAACGCGATTTTATATCCAAAACACCCAAAAATTAAAAATATTACTTATTTGGGCACAGACGCATCTGTCACCTGACGACAATATTTGCTTAAAACAAAAATTCTGCAGTTTATACATACATAATATTTATCATCTGCCCTTGAAAAAACATGTAGGAATAATATCCTGCAAGTAGAAGTAAGATTCAATGCGTACAAAAAAAGATCCATCGAAAAATTATTTTAGTAATACAAATAGGACAACATGTAGGAACAATATTGTGTAAATAAAACTAAGATTCAACGCCTAGAAAAAAAGATATTCTAAAATGAAGTTTTATAAATGGAATAAGATTCATTCGATATTTTGGCTAAATTCTTCTAATTACGAATTTAATTCATACATGCATAAAATATGCGATTAGTGAAAATCTTTCTTATTAGGCTTTTAATCTTTTATACTACGTTTACGCGAGCGTTACTTTTGTAGTAACTTACGATAATTCCTTCGCGTAAACGGGATTTTGTAGTAACTTACGATAATTTACTCCGCGTAAACGAGTGAATTATCGTAAGTTACTACAGAAGTAACGCTCGCGTAAACGTAGTACTAGTCCGATTAGTGGAGTACTTTCGATTTGTACACGTAAGCTATACATATAATTTGTATATTAAACGAAAGTTTCAATGAAGTTCTAGGTACAAAAGGTGCAACATCAATTAAGTAGTATCAAATATAATTTTTTCAATTCTTTTAAGTTTTTGGTCTTCAATTTGCCACTCCACTCATCATTTCTGTACGTATTATACTTATTTAAACGTGTTAATGGGATTTCAAATCTGTAAAGCAAATTCGATAAAAATCGGACACTTATAAATATCGATAATTGCCGTCGGTCCAGGATCCCCACCGTCCCAAAAGTATGCAGGAAATATTAAAAACTCTGATATTAATTCTCCAAGGATCCAAAGACAAAATAAATTGTGCAAATTAGAAATTTGCACATATGGCTTCCTCATAGAGGAAGCTTTAACTTTCGCAAATTTGGAAATATCGATCTATTTCTAATTTTTTTTTTTTCAGTCTTTTCTACCCCTATTTCATATATAATTCTTTTAAATTCGGTTAATTAGACTTAGCTTTATATGCGATCAAAATTATGGACCTTTGATCGCGTATAAAGCTGGGTCTAATCAACTAAATCTTAAAAAATTATATATGAAATAGGAGTAGAAAAGATTGAAAAATATAATGAAATTAGAAATAGATCGATATCTCCAAATTTGCGGAAGTTAAAGCATAAACAAACATTTCTGCAAAAATTTAAAATTTTATTAAAAAAGAACCCCTTGATTATTAGCAATTTTTATTAATTCTATTATATTCTTCAGTTTTTTCTACCCCTATTTCATATATAATTTGTTAAGATTTGGTTGATTAGTTCTGGAGTTATAGAAATTTCGGTAAATTTGGCACATACACACACACATACATACAGACATTTTTTAAAATTGCAATTTTTCGATGTTTTAGAACATTCTGAACACATTCAGAAAAACAAAAAAAAATTTTTTTTAACGAAAAAGCTTTCTCTATGAGGAAGCAAAACGTATATAAATAGTTACGGAACATCTAATAGAATGTAAAAGACGTAGATTTAGTGACTGTAAATAACTGTTAGGGCCAAAGCACATATGACAGTCGTAGTCGTGGACGTAAGTAACGCACAAGCTTTAGCGTATCCTGATTTGTCAGGTCGAGGACTACGACCGTCGTATATCGCTACGCCAATGTTATGTGCTTTGGCCCTTACTATAAAAAAAAAAAAAGTAAATCGTTTCAAATTTTGTTGCTATATTTTTGTTTGTTGATGATCTGCTTGTGCGTAAAATATTATTATATAATTGGTTACATTTTTTAATGTTTACACTTTTCTCTGTAAAACCTTTTGTAAAACGGATATTCAAGAATTGATAACTTTTTATCTAAATTGTGAATCGATTTGAAATTTAGCCCCTAACTTTGAAAGAGAATACACAATATGATATTAAATTTTCGTCAACTTCGTTACATTTTAACTAACTCTTTAGAACACCCTTAAGTTTGATTGACGTGAAAACTCCAGACAAGCTTAGTAGTACCATGATGTAAAAATACAAGGTGTATCATTCCCAAGGTTGCGCAGTGAATGATCAATCAGAGATTTGCCCATTAAGACTCCATTCAGCCAATCAAATGACCATATTAGCAACTTAAGACATTACTTAAGACGGTCTTGAAATAAGATCCGACTATGAATACCGCCCTATATAGTTAAGTGTAGAAACTAATCTTAATTCATAATAAAGAATTACTGAGCGCTCACTGATCTGCTTTGTCTGTTGAACGCACCCCTTGTATTCTTACATTATGGAGTAGTACCGCGTCGTGATGGCATGAACATAGTAGTGAGCATAGTCACATTTTTTATGTATGTGTATGTATGTACATACTTGGCGTCGCGGTACTACCATATAGAAAATATCTCGCAATTAATAATTTCTGTAAATTTAATAGTAATTTAATGATACATTTTTTTTCTTAAAAAAATTGAAATAAAGT